GGGGGGTGGCCGGGGCTCCAGGGTCTCCCGGCTTCCCCGCCACCCCCACGTTGCCTCCTTCCCGCAGCCCTTCCAGAAGCACGTCTACTACCCGCTCGCCAGCGGCCTCGAGGGTCCCGAGGCCGCCCCCGCCGCCGCGGCGGGCGCAGCCTCCATGGCCTGCGCGCCCCCCAGCGCGGCATCGGGCCCGCTGCCCTTCTTCCAGTTCCGACCGCGGCTGGAGAGCGTGGACTGGCGGAGGCTGAGCGCCATCGACGTGGACAAGGTGGCGGGGGCGGTGGATGTGCTCACGCTGCAGGAGAATATCATGAACATCACCTTCTGCAAGCTGGAGGACGAGAAGTGCCCGCACTGCCAGTCGGGGGTGGACCCCGTGCTGCTGAAGCTCATCCGCCTGGCGCAGCTCACCATTGAGTACCTGCTGCACTCCCAGGAGTTCCTCACGTCGCAGCTGCACAGCCTGGAGGAGCGGCTGCGCCTGAGCCTGGCCGACGTGGAGCAGAGCAGGCGGCTGCTCACCAAGCAGGCCGGGGAGATGAAGATGCTCAAGGAAGAGTGTAAACGCAGGAAAAAGATGATCGCCACCCAGCAACTGATGATCGAGGCCAAAACCAGCTATTACCAGGTGGGAGACTGCGCTGCCGCCCCCCCTCCCCCACCCACCCCTCAGTTTACACACGCTGGGAGATAGTTTGCAGGGTTTTTTTGGTTTTTGTTTTTTGGGTTTTTTTAAACTATAAATCAAAAAATGGCATGTTTACACAAAACAGCGATTCTAACCAACAGATGACATGGTTCACTGCCTTTTGTAGACGGAGACTGAATTAATAGTTAAACAGGCAGCCTTCACTGCAGTGCATTACTGAAATTATCTAAAGGAGAAAGTGTTTCTTCCACCTAATCTATGTGTGAGAAATAAAACACGATTTTATTTAAAAAAATAAACGACGACCTCAAATTGCTGTTGAGGTTGGCCCCTAAATGATCTGGAATAATTACATGGGTGGGGTCGAGTTTTGAAAGACCTTCAAACTTGCAGAAAAGTTGCAAGTATATTGTTGTCCACACAGTAATATTCAGATTCCTTGGGTGTTCACATTTATCCCATTTGCTTAATTTCCTGTCTTGCTACACATTATCTCTTTCAACCAGGTGGCAGTGAGTTGCAGATTCCAAAATACTTCAATGTGTATATTTCCTAGGAACACTCACTTGTGTCACAACAGTATTTTTAAATGAAAAAGAATTTTGCTTTTCTAGTCTTAACTACCAACTGTTTAGCCTAGACATTGAGCTCAAGAGAAATATTGTGATTTTTGAGCAGAACAGACATCATTGTATTTTATATTTATTGAGTAGATGGAGGAAGTGCAACAGATATCAAAGTATTTGATAAAAATACCCAAGTAAGTAACAGATCAGCAAGATAATTCCACGCCCTTATTGGTTAGCTTGGCTACTTGTAGCTTTTTAAAAGAAGATTTATTTATTTATGCATACAAGAGCTGGGGTGCAGGCCAAAGGTGTGGGTGGAAGGGGGTAAGAGGATGCACCAGAGCCGAGTGGGGAGCAAAACAGGCAGGTCTGAAATACACTGCTGAGGGGAGCAGCAGGGAGACCGGAGAGGTCTGCTGCGCCATGTGGGTCAGCTCCCTGGCTGGGGATCAAACTCAGCCTGCAGTGGCTGCAGACAGCTTCATAGTACCGACACTAGACCCCTTGCGCCACCAGGGAGGCCCAAAATGTGGCTTTTTAGGCCTCGTGTAACGTAAGTAATGGTGGAGCTGAAGCACCAATGGTAGTGGACAATTGGGTCCAGAATGGGATGCAGAAAAATGGTGCCATTATCAGTGCTTATGTCAGATCCAATAGGAGCCCTGAGAGAAAGGTGTCTTGATAGGTGAATAGCTAGGAAAGAGTACTGTTAAAAAAAGACTTAGTGGACACACAACCTGAGACAATTAGCCAATCGTCTGTGTGTGTGTGTGTGTGTGTGTGTGTGTGTGTGTTTTCATAAGTGCTACTTGAAAACTAAATATAAATTGTGCTGCGGTGGTTCTGTTCGTCTATTATACAGTGAGTAGAATTTATTTTACTTAAATAATTTATCTTACTCTAGATTTGGTAGCAATCTAGTGGAACATAAACACCTGTAACATATAGAACATGAACACCTATAACATATAGACATATTTTCTCATTCTTTTAGTTATCTGAGAAATCATTGTCAATAAATAAAGATTTTCAAATATGAGTGACAGGTGAGGTTAAAAAAAAAAGTCCTGGTGGCCCTCCCTAATGGTGCAGTGAGTTAAAGCACCACACTAAGAAGCTAAAGCCACTTCTGCATGAGTTCCATCCCCAGCCCCGGAGGTGACCACAGGGCGCAGCAGACCTCTCCTGGCCCGCCCGCTGCTCCCCTCAGCAGTATACCTCGTCCATCTGCCTGTTCTGCTCCCCACTCTGTCTCTGGTGAAGCCTCTCACCACCCTTGCACCTCTGGCCTGTGTCCCAGTTCTGTATGCATAAGTAAATAAATCTTTTAAAAAAAGAAGAAAAAAAAGGCTCTGGCAGGGTTTTCTCAAAGGAGTCACATTTTTGGCCACCCAGCAGGCTTTGAGTGTCAGCTATGTGGTGTGCACAGGGGTGACCTGGGAGCGCTTGGTGTCACACTTTTTACTTCTTAGTATAAGCACAGGTCCCCTCTGGCCGCTACGAAGTGACTCAGTGGACAGTGTCTCTTTGAGGAGACTCAGCAGTGGGTGCTTTTGAGCCACTGTCTGGTTTTGAAGTGTTTGACTATGCAAAGCATTTCACTCCTAAACTCTTGGTTTCAGCATTTGGAAGATAGGATATTCTTAGTAGCTACCTGTTAGGGTTGTTCTGAGAAATTGATGCTGTGTAGCACCAGGGAGGCTCAGTGAACTCCATCTCTGGCTTGGAGATGCTGATGTCTACAGTGTCTTCTCAGGACTGAACTATAGCTACCTGTGGTCTCAACGTGTATCCTTGGACTTTTTCTTTTTTAAAAGATTTTATTTACTTATGCACACAAGAACTGGGGTACAGGCCAGAGGTGCGGGGGGTAAGAATATTCACCAGAGACAGAGTGGGATCAGAACAGGCTGAATAACAAAGTACACTGCTGAGAGGAGCAGCGGGTGGGTCAGGAGAAGTCTGGTGGGCCATGTGGATCAGCTCCCTGGCTAGGGGTCGATCTTGTGCTGCAGTGGCTGAGGATTGCTTCATAGTGTTGTGCTTTTACCTGTTGCACCACCAGGGAGGAGGGCCCTGAATCCTCAGACATTTTTTAAAAGCCCACGGAAGTTGTGGGTACAGAAAAGAAGGCCAGAGCTCAGTGTAGATGTTGTAGGAATCGGTGGTTCCGGATCAGCTACTCAAAGACTGCAGTTACTAAGGCATAGTACACCTGCCATGGTAGGGTCACTCTAACTCCAGCTATGTGAGCTGAGGGACATTCCATCTAAAATAAAATTTAGGAGAAGACAGTTGATTTGTTTTCATAGTCAACATTAACAGGCAGTCATCAATCTGTTCAGTAGAGACCTCTACAGTTAGGGGCCAGGTAAGCCACATGCAGAGGGGTGTGTATGCCAGTTACCTGGCATCAGATTACTAGTGTTTAAATTGAAAAAATGTCAATGGATCATAACAGGGCTTAGAGTCATCCTAAGAAGAGCTTTCACTTGCACAGGTGAAGAATGGAGATTCTCCCCCAGGCTCCAGCAGTACAGGCAGATTGTGGAATCTGTCCGTGAATTTCTGTCCCTGCTTCCAGTTATTGGGCCTCTGGAGTTGAAGATGAATGGGGAGAAGAGGAAGAAGCATGCATAAATTAAAACATGCGGCCGATAATGCTGTAGCTTAATTCTGCTGCGCCTTGATCTTTCCAGAGGGGGAGTGCTTGCTATGGAGATTAAATCAAAGGTTGGGCCCTCCCTGGTGGCACAGGGATTAAAACGCAGCACTATGAAGCTATCCTCAGCCACTGAGTATGAGTTCGATCCCCAGTCAGGGAGCTGACCCACATGGCTGGCAGACCTCTCCTGACCTGCCCACTGCTCCCCTTAGCAGTGTATTTTCGATCTGCCTGTTATGCTCCCCACTGTTTCTGGTGAGCCCTCTCACCCCACCACACCTCTGGCCTGTGCTCCAGTTTTTGTACGCATAAGCAAATCTTTAAATAAAAAAGAATTGTCAGAAAGAAAGGAAAGATGGAGGGGCAACCTAGAGATAAGAAGAAAGTTTAGACACACGCCAGCCAGTTGTAGGATAGGCTGCTTACTTGGAATCTGAGTCTAAATGAGCAGTGAAATTTTTTTCTAAAACTACGTGTGAAATACAGGGTTGGGGAGTAGAAAAAACAAATGGTTGAGTATTGTTGATATTATGAACGGAACATATGCCCACATTTGAAAGGTATATCACTATTATTGTAACTATTCAAAGGAAATGCCTTAGCTTTTGGAAATAGATTCTGAAATGTTAACAGATGAATTATATACTAAATAGGATTTACTTCAGAGTTATCCAGGGGAGAGGATTTAAGTGAAACAAGTTGAATCTTTGCTTAAAACCTGAATCAGTGTTGAAGTGTAAAATAGAAATAGAAGTGGAGTTGATTGTCTTTGGTAAATTCATTTCGTTAGGCCAGATATTCTAAGCATTTGTTCAATCAGTTTTTTAGTGCAGGGTTTGGAGGATAAACTTTGAAATAGAGAAGAGCTCATGCTCTCGGGGTGGACGTTCTGTCATTCAGTGGGACTGGGTAAGAGATAATAAAGCAGAAAAGCAAATAACTGTGAAAATATTAACTGTGAGTGCGGGGAAGACCCTGTTGGGGACACACCACTCACCCCCAGGATGGAACGATGCTCTATGAACATCGTCTTGAATGTCAAGAAGGAGCCAACCATGCGTGTCTGGGGAGTTACAAGCAGGAAGCCAGCTGGAGCAGAGGCAAAGGGGTCGGTCTGCGCCCTGACACAGGAGGGAAGCTGGCCCGGGGGCACGTCCAAAACAAACTGGAGGCAGCAGACAGGGAACCTCCAGTCTAATGGAGCAGTCTCAGAAACCACCAGAAACCACTCAGAAAGTTCCCACTGCCTTGTGCTCAGCTGGGGAAGAACACTCTAAGGTTTTTTTTGCATACAAGAAATGGGTATAGGCCAGAGGTGGCAGGGTTGGGGGAGGAGAGAGAGAGGGGATTCACAGGAGACAGTGAGGAGCAGAAAGGCAGATTGACAGAGTACACCAATGAGGGGAGCAGCGGGGAGACAGAAGAGGTCTGTGCGCCACATGACTCAGCTCTGGGGCCAGGGATTGAACTCACGCGGTAGCTACTTCACACCTAGGCCAGCAGGAGGCCTTATATTTACTTTCTCAGTAGTCACCTGCCTAATCCAGGTACCCAATTTTAAACGAAACGAGACGTGAGGACACTCTCACGGATACTTGAATCGGTTGCTCTCTCCATTTCAGTGTCAATTTTGTGACAAGGCCTTTATGAACCACGCTTTTCTACAGAGCCACATTCAGCGCCGACACCCTGAAGATCCTCACCTTGGTAAGTCACGAGCTCAACTCCAAAGACCTGTGTTCTTTCTGGCATCTTTTTGTGTTTTAGGGAGATGCGGTCCATGCATTTCTCCAGCCTTTTTTTTTTTTAAAGAATTATTTATTTGTGCATACAGAACTGGGGTATAGGCCAGAGGTGCAGGGCGGTGAAAGGACTTACCAGAGACAAAATGGGGAGCAGAACAGGCAGGTCAATGAAGTACACTGCTGAGGGGAGCAGCTGGCGGGTCAGGAGAGGTCTGCCGCGCCGTGTGGTCACCTCCGGGGCAGGCGGGGATAGAACTCATGCGGAAGTGGTTTCAGCTTCTTAGTGCAGTGCTTTAACCCGCTGCGCCACCAGGGAGGGCCATCTCCAGCCTTTGAAGAGAAAGTTGTCCTGTTGACTCTTCACAGAGACGCTGAGCCCCTGCCAGGTGCCCTGTGCTGTGCTGGGAGTTGGGGATCCCCAGCCCTACACACTAATGGGAGGGGAAGACACATAAAATGTACAAGGGATTCTCTCAAATGGTGGCAAGTACTGTGAAGAAAATGTGATGAGGCGGACATCAGATAATCAGCACAGGTCTCACCTAAGAGGAGATACTTGCTCAAAGAGCAGAAAGATGAGGAGGCCACGGGAAGTCTGATTGGAGAGGTGTGGTAGGGAGAGAGGGTGAAGCATTCGAGGAGCAGGCAGAGGTTAGTGGGGGTGAGAAGCCAGGCAGTGAGAGGGGCCCCGAGGCCATGGCGGAGAAAAGCGACCAGGGCAATCAGTGGTGGAAACATGAGGAGTCCGCAAGAGCAGCTCAGGTGAGAGGAGATGGCAGCCGGACTAGTTAGTGCCAGGGAGGACCGGAGAGAAGATGGAGAAGACCTGATCTGGACACAGCCAGCGGAGACGGGGCTGAGATGATCTGGAATCTTGCCCTGTGCATTTCAGTGACTGGTTGTGATGTTTGCCAGGCTGGGGCCTCCGTGCAGGGAGCACACCTGCGGGTGGGAGGAGAAGAGCTTATGTTGGCCACAGACAGTTGCAAGTCGCCCATACAGTTGCTGTGAGGGGCACAGGCAGAGCTGTGGGGGTCAGGGTGACGCCCTGGCTGGAGGTGTAAATCTGGGAGCCGTGCGTGGAGCACAGCAGGGCTGGAAGAGGTCACCGAGGCAGGGAAAGACTGAGGGGCGGCCCACACCTCTGGGTGCTCAGAAGAGGCAGCCGTGTTGAGTACAAAATAGCAGTGACAGAGGCAGGAGGGAGGCCGGAGAGTGGGCGGTCATGGAAACCAAGGGAAAGAAGCATGTCAAGGAGGGCAGCGGGCATCACATCAAATGCTAGGATGACCGGGAACTAGCCATGTCAACGCTGCTGCTGGTCTCCTTGAGGTGACAGCTTCAGTGGACGAAGCTGAATGAGAGGCAGGCGAGGAAGGGGTCATGTTGATGACATTTATCGGTCACATTTGCTGGGAAAGAGCAGAAACGTGAGCTCTTACCTGGAGCGCGTGTGGGATCAAGGGCCAAATTTTGGTTTTGTTTGATGTGGGGGATACCAAGATGTGTTTGAGTGTGGATGCAAATTAACTGATGTAGAGAGGGGGAAGTTGAAGAAGGAGGAGAGGGGGAGGGGTTCTGTGCTTAGAAGGAGCCAAGTTTCCTACTGTTTAATGGCCTCAAAGCAAGGAGTGCACGGTCCGTTTTGCCACGTGCTGATCCCAGCTTTCCGAAGACTGCTATTGCAATCCACCGAAATTCTCATTCTGATTTTAAATGTTTTCAGTATCTGGAAATGTGTGCTTCTAGCTCGTTACTCTGTGCCTACTTTCCCCTCTGGAGGCCAATCTGTTTCTTCTCCGGCCTACTGCAAGTAAACAGATACATGTATTTAGCAAATAGCTAAGCTTTGTATAAACAATATAAACAGCCTAAAATTCCACCTGTAAGCCAGGGACCGCTGATGCAGTTTGGCAATCTATTGGAGAAGCTAGAATGATGAAATATTTTAATTAATCTACCCTTCTTCAGTGTGAAACTGACCTTCTCTCTCTTCTGTTTCAGTCTCTTATTCTATCTCATACTCTTTTCAGAGAGTATTTCCGACTCTGAACTGAGTATTGTCTCTTTAGGTCATCTTTGAGATTCTGACTTTCTACTTTGGTTTCCATACCTTTCATGTCTACACTCACAGACACATGTATATCCATTCAGTCATGTGTGCATCTGCATGTAAGTACGTGTGCATAATTATTCTTCCCTTTACTTGCTGCTTCCTTTTACATTTCAGTACTTCCGTTTTTGCCCGTTGGACAGATTATGACCCGAGTTTGCTTGCTGAAGGCCAGTCTCTGCTTGTCTCGGCAGCGAGGGGGTTCTCAGGGGAGTTCGGTGGGAGCCGGAAGGATGTGAACATAGCTCAGAATGGTGGTGCTTCCGTTTTCTGACTGAGACGAGCATCTCTACAAGCCCAGGGCGCCATTGGGTCCAGGCTCCCCGGCTCATTCCTTGCCCCCACTACTGCTTCCCCATATGCCCCTGTAGGATAATCTGACCTCAGCACAGTGGCTGAAAGAATGCTAAGAAGAGTCCAAATCCAGTAAGGCAAAAAGAAACTCTACGGAGCAAAAACTGGCTCTCGGGGCATGCCAGATAACAGTCATCTCCCGAGGAAGAGCAGTTTTAGATGTTTTTCAGCTAAGTCTCCCAGGAACTGGTATTTTAACAGGATGTGTCTGTTGTAACAGAGTATAAGAAAAGGGTGCAGACGGACAGGCTGCAGAAGGAGGTCGACATGTTGAAGGAGCAGCTGCAACTCACCAAGTCTCAGCTGGAGTCTGCCCAGCACGCCCACGCGGTCAGATTCTCCAAGGTATGATACTAAATTCTGCAACCAGGGTCTGTTGGGAAGAGTTGACAGTTGTTCTTCTTTATGTTTGATGGAACTCACCAGCGAATTCGCCTGTGGTCCCGGCCTTAGCTTTGTTGGGAGGTTTTGATTACTGATTCATGTTCCGTATTTGTGAAGTATCTGTTCAGATTTTCTGATTCTTCATGATGTCTTGGCCAGTCATATGTTTCTAGAAATTTATCCAGTTCTGCTAGATTGCGCGGTTCGTTTGCATGCACTTGTTAATGGTGATCCATTTCCCTCCAGCACTGTTTTGGCTGCATCTCATTTCATTGGTATGTTGTGTTTTCATTTTAATGCATACCAAATTATTTGCTACTTTTGCCAGTGACCTTTTTTTTTGATTGATTGGTTATTTAAGATCACATTGATTAGTTTTCATATATTTCTGAATTTCCCAGTTTTCCTTCTGTTGTTGATTTCTGGGTTCATTTTATTGTGGTTGGATAGGATACTTCGCATGATTTTTTTTCACTCATTTATTAAGAACTGGGATATAGGCCAGAGATGTGGTAGCTGAAAGGATTCATCAGAGACAGAATGGGGAGCAGAGCAGGTCGATCTGCTGAGATACACTGCTGAGGGGAGCAGAGGGAGAGACAGGAGATGTATGCTGCACCATGTGGGTCACCTCCCTGGCCGGGAATCTCATTCTTGCTGCAGTGGCTGCCAAGAGCTTGATAGCAGTGAGACTTTAACCCCTGCACCACCAGAGAGGCCCGTTTTGCACCATTTCAGTCATTTTAAAATTTATTGTGAGTTATTTTTATGGCTTCACATAGGGCCTATCCTGATGAATCTTTCATATACACTTAATAGGAATGTATATTTTACTGCTGTTGCATGTGGTACACCCAACAAACATTCCGATGATATTTGTTAGACCAATTTTTTTTAGGGTGTTGTTCAAGTCCTCAATTAGGTAAAAAAAAAAAAGGAAGGTCATTTAGAAATCAAGGAATGGTCCTCTGGATCCCGATTTTAGGTTATACAAGTCTGAATTTATTTTTTTCCAGGGGTGATATGGAAAAACCAAAATGGATGTGAGAACAAAGAAGGTTTTTCTGCTCAACAGATTTTTTTTCTTTTAAAATATATTTATATTTTACTTATTATTACATGATCACTTTAGTATTCTGTGTGAGTGTTTTAAGGGGTGAGCATTTTAAGGGGTGTAATTCCGATGCTACCTTGGATTTAAAGAAACATTGTGTACAGATCTTCCACTACAGAGTGTTATTACAGACCTAGCTAACCATGCAATAGCAGCTGATACATCCAAAGTGGACCTTGTTTATTTCCTAATTTGCACATTTGCTCTGTATCAGAACCTTCAGAGTCACCTATTAAACTAATTTCAGGAACATGAAATGCAGAAAATAAAAGAGGAAGAATTTCTGAAGTTATTTGATAGATGGAAAGAAGAAGAAAAGGAGAAATTGGTTAGTGAAATGGAAAAAGTCAAGGAAATGTTTATGAAGGAGTTTAAAGAATTGACTTCCAAGAATTCAGCATTAGAATACGTAAGTATTAGAGAACTCGCAGTATCAGTAATGCTATTGCCTTGAGAAGTGGGTTAGATTGACATTATCACCAGTGGATCTAGAAATTACTTTTTGAGCCTTGGCCAGCATCCCCTTTCCCCCCTATGAGTCTCAGTGGGGAGCAAGGGACATACAGAAGACAGATCAAGTGGAAAAGGTGGCACAGAACATTTAGTCCTCTTGGGACATTTGCTCAAATCCTAGAAGTGGACCCCTCTTTTGTTAGCGTGTTAGGTTTAGATAACCTCACTACGTGTTAGATCTTTCCAGAAAGGCTGACCCAGATCACCAATGTGGGAGAAGAAGGCCAAGCCAATAAGACAGACAGAGAGAACTTTAACAGGGTCCTTTCTTACTCCAATCTTGGTGCTAAGGATAGGGATTCTGGAACAGGCAGCTTTTGGCTAAATGAATTCCTTCTCCTGGCCAAGCAGGTCCACAGTACCCTGGTCATGTGCACGGACAATGGACAGAGAGAACCTAACCTAACCTTAACCTCTGCGGGCTCCTTCCTCAGACAGCGGCCAATCAGTGTTTTCCAGCTAAGTGTTAGCTGGGCTGTGCTGGCCACTCAGACCTGAGTCATGCTTGGGGGAAGAGGTGGGGCGGTGAGGGAAGGTCCTTGAGCGCCCTCTGGAGGCCAAGAAGTGGAATAAACTGAAATGGATATTTTGGGAATAACCCTGACTGCAGTCTCTGAAATTCCCTGAATGGTACGGCCAAGGACTGCACTTTGAGCGCTGAGCGTAATATACCATATACACATATCATCTTCAAGGAGACACCTGCAACCCGCATAAAGTGATGTTGCAATGTTACCTTCAGTAAAAACTATCACCTGGGGGGCAGCAGACTACCACCACCAGGGTACCCCATCTGACCGCCGCCCTGCTTTTTGGCCCTTGAGCTAAAAGGGGTTTTTAAATGGTTAAGAGAAAGAAGGTACCTGAAAATAACACGAAGTCCACATCAAATTGCTGAAAGTAAAGTTTGACTAGCGCACCCCCAGATCTGCATTTACGGCCGTTTGTGACCGGGACCAGGAGGTCCGGGGCGTGGCTGAGCCCGCGCGCGTCTTTCAGGACCAGAAACGTGTGTCATCTTTACAGAAACGACTGACCACTTCCTGTCGTGGTTTTATAAAGCAAATGTGGCACAATCGTAGCGAACTGTGAAATGGGCGGGGTATACTGTTCTTTCCACTTTTCTGAGGCTGTAATTCGCAGATAAGGAACTGTGGGCACTGCCCAGGGTGGCTGTGGTGCCTTCTTTCGGGCTGCCTCCGCTCTGCTTCGCTTCGGTCCTGCCACCCCCTGATTACCGCTTCTCAGTTCTCCATCTTTCTAAGCATCAGTGTTCAGAGCACACCTGCTGTGGCTTCTGAGGTGCCACTGGCCCCTGCGAAGCCGGAGAGCAGAGCCAGTAGTTGGCTGAGCGTGGCGCTCACCAGCTTCGCACGGACTCCCGCGGCTGCGCTCTGGAGCCCACACGCCGCGCCCGCTGGTGATGAGCTCCCAGATGATGCCTCTTCCCTGAGATTCCCTCCCAGCCTCTGCCCCGGTGCCAGGAAAATTGCTGCACTGCAATTATCTTTCTCTGAAACTTCCCTTTGAGCCACAGTTCACCATAACCTTCGCCCACGGAGAAGGTGCTAGATCCCAGAGTTACAAAGCCATCATCACCAGCACTGTTAAACATTCCATCACCCCAAGAAGAAACCCGAGCCCCTGTGGGCACACCCTTCGCTTCCCCCTAACTCAACCCCTGGGAACCCCGGACCTGCCTTCTGTCTCCGTGAATCCACCTGTTGTCGATATTTCCTATACATGGGATCACACACTATGTGGTGTTCAGTAAATGGCTTCTTCCCTGCGTATAATTTTTAAAAATAATGTAATAGTTTATTTTTACATCATTTTGTGGCATATAATGTTTTAAAGAGTCATCCCTATTACAGTATCAGGATTGAATTTCTTTAAACTGCTGTCTTATAATACCATATATTTTTTTAAAGATTTATTTATTTATGCATACATACAGAACTGGGGTACAGGCCAGAGGTGCAGGGGTGGTGAGAGGATTCACCAGAGACAGA